CATTTAATTATTTAATTTGTCTAAATGTTCAAGATCATTTTCTTCCTAGAGTACAGTTATGTAGAAAGTAGAGAATTTTATTCTCTACTGTATTCATTGGTCTTAGCATAATGTCCAGTTTTGAACAAGCACTCAGTAAATGATTGTGGAATTAATKAATTTCTTCCATGTACTGATAATTCATTCTGTATAAATACTACATTCCATTACACTATTGTAGTATTCTCTAAATTGATCTCCAGTCTCCTTCAATTGATCTTTATACAGTAATGCAAGGTCAGTCTTGGGTAGTTTTTTTTTTATCATGAAAGTCCCTTACTTAACAATATATGTTCTTCATTTCTTAATCCACCACAAATTAGGCAATTTCTTTGTAGTTTCTAAGCAATTTTTCTCATTATGTCTCTCAACAGTTATACTAGATTTCCTCAAATGTCACCACACAGGAACACTAACAACTCTTTGAAGCTATTAGTCCTCACCTGTAGTCTTAGAGCTCCTCACTCTCACTGCTATTCATCCATGTACTGTGTGAATGTGGACTGCCAAATGTGGTAGGCCACTGTTCCAAGAGCTCTTCCTGATTCCAGGTGCTAACAACATGACCTTGCTCTTAACTTGGCCTCTTTGAACCTGTGTCTTCTCATCTGTAAAGTATAATAGTGTTGGGTACTTCATAGGATTATTGTGGGGACTTCATGTAGTAATGCACATTAGGCACCTTTTTAGCCTGTCCGTAGTGCATGATGAGTGTTCAGAAAGTGCTAGTTATTATTCAAGGCCCAACTCCAGTCTTTATACATCCAGAAATCTTSCAGTCTTTTCTCAGATCTTGCCTACTGAGATTTCAGAGACTTCTATGGTGAACTAAAGGTGGTTCCTGTGGAGTACTGGAAAAATCCTCCCARGACTGATTTTTGCCTTTACACTGGGTCTCAAATGAGAAGCAGCACCCCGAGTTTAGTAAGAAAAATCATACAGAAGACAAAAGATTTAGGAGTTGACCCTTGCTGGCCTCCTGACTTTTTGATTATAGTCCAAACAAATCACTTTATCCTTTCAAGCATCAAGTATCTACAAAATGAGTGCATTAAATTATATAAGTTTTTTCCAGCCTTGCTAAGCACTCAGTATTTAAATGTGAGATCAGAAAATGACATAAAAATGCAGCATGTCACAGTGTTTTCTCTGGGTCTGTTTCTTAGCCACCTGATTAACCCTTAAGAGTAGAGCACAGCTCCATGTGTTTAGGAAAGAAATAACACTATCAACTCTGAAGTGTTTGGTRATAGAGGTCCAGGCTACACTTTATATTTTTTTTTAAGAAATAAGGTTTATTGTTTCCTTCCTAATGGAGCTACATTTAAACCATGTGGATGGGCTTTAAAGATATATTACAGAACTTTGTTTTTCTTGGCAAAGTTGTACATGTTCCCTCCTGGCTTTGAAAGCCAGGAGGTCATTGTGCTATTGCAGAGGACTCTAATCATTATTATGCTGTCTTTGTCTCTAGGATCCAAACCAAGCTGATGAAGAAGCAATGACACAGATAATTCGAGTCTCCTAACCCCAGGCCATATGATGGAGCTGATCAAGGTCATATTCCTTGCCGATGTTTTCCACTGTTCCAGGGAATTGATCTACTCTTCCAATGGGACACTGACGATCACTTCTGCCCTTTTCTACAGGACAGAAACCACTTAGTTTTTAATAAGTGGCTCAGTATTATAATCGCAGCAATGTCTGGCAAATTGAAGTTGCAAGCCTTTGTCTCACCCTTTCAGTCAGGACCTATTTTAGACTTGATAACATTTGACATTTCATGGATTAGGATGATACAAGGAGACACTTGCCAGCCCAGCAGTATACAAGCACTTATGTTGACTGGTGAAGCCAGCCAGCCATCTCAGCAGGGAAGAACATCCTTCTCAACCTGAACTGCAATCAGGGAAGCCGCAGCTCATTCCTTCCCATGGAATCTAGATAGCATCCATCCCTCTGGTGGGGGAGCTCAGGCTGACCAACTGAATAGACACTTTGTATTCAGATGGCCTCTGAGCAAGAAAGTTCCATACTGTGATATGGAAACAATAAATTCTCTGAGATACAGCCATCTAATCTGTGGTAATAATAAGAATCTCTGTGGGTTCATATTTTAGGACTTCAGCCAAGAAAAGTCCAAAAGGATATTTTGGGCTCTAGGGATAAAGTGATAAAATTTTGAAGAACCTAAAATATACATTGCTGACTCTCTCTTTAGCTTTGACAAGTTGTGGTCTGCTTGTCTCTGTTAACAGGTCATCAGGACCATAGGTCTTGCTGTGGCTACTTTTCAGATAATATAGAGGGTCCTGGAACTGGAAACTGCCTTTCCTAAGTAGAAAACAAAACTCTTCAAAAACTTCTGTGCTGAAGCACTGAAAACATCTGTGGTAATTCCTAAACAGAGAGTCAAACTAGAGATTTTCAAGTGTAGTCTTTTTGATGACATTTGGGGAATAGAAGAGTGTTTCAGTCTAGGAAGAAAGAGAAAGAGTAGTCTACCTATCAGGTGTTGTCATAGAGCTTGATTCTCCTCCAGTGGATGAGTACCTGGAATGGATCATTAAGATGAAGAGACTAATTCACATTTATTCTAAAACCTTTTTACAAGTACTGCCAGGGAGAATTCTGAGATTGAGTCCTTGACAAAGAGCCAGGAAAGCACTATTCAAGCACACTGTCCTGGACGAAGTCCAGGTTACCTGTTATAGCTTGATGTGGATGTTGGCCTCATTCCAGCAGTATTTTGTGCTGACTCCAGAGAGCAGACATTCTTACTCTTCCCATGGCAGCTGATTCTTTGGTGCCATTTGCATTTGTTTTCCCCTTTCTCCTTAGGCCTTGTGCAGAAAGGTTTTCACACTGCACCCATACTATAGGAATAAACTACAGTCTGGAAGAAAGTAGAGATGCTGCAGGGTCAGGAACTGGGCCACAGTTGCCAGAATGAGTTGGACCTCAGAAATCTATTTTCCAGGTGTTGAACTCTGGGAGACAGAACCAAGATGATATTTCAGAAGAGTTGGCTGCCTTCTCTGGAAACAAAGAAGGAGAATCCAATAATTCTGAAGACCATTTGGGGTTGGCTTAAATACCAAGAGTAAAGATTGCATCCTTGACATCACTCTAAATGCATTAGGACAGAAAAGAAAGTAAACCCTTTGAAGAGAAAATCAGAGGGGGAGGCCATAGTAAAAGTAGAAATAGAGGTATAGAGCTATGCAAAGGAAATTGGAAGTGAAATATCTTCCTAGATCCGGGAATCTAGTAGTTTTTCCTGCTTTCCAGGTGTCAGAGGGCTGACTCTTTGGTAAGCTCACTAGAAATTTCTGGCTCTTTTATGTTTCAGAAATTAGACCACCCCAGTTTTTTCAGATAACATTAAAGATGATGAGGAATTTATCTTGGGGTTAGTTTAGGAGTCTAAGATGGAGAGTTTAGAAATTCCTCAGACCTAATTTCTAGTGCTGAAGCCAATGGTGGTTCTAAAATACTATTTATTTGTGTCTATAAGTTTGTACATAGTAATACCAACCTCATTGTTACTGAATTTTTCATGGAGGGGGGCAAGTTTGACTTTTGTTTGAAATGAAATGCATCAGTTGTCATTTTGTCACTGCATTTCAGATAGCTCATGGCCCTTTTATAATGGTTATTTTTTGCACACCATAATAGCCCACAAAGTGGGAACAGGGGAGCTGACCTTTGGATTTTTTTTCCTTTATTACTAATTCTTCTACTCATTTGTCCTTGTGACTGCAGTGATGACTTCAATGATGCAGAGCGAACAGATGAATGAATAATTGGTTTGATGCATAGTTGTGTCACTTCTTGAGAGCTTTTTTCTTTTTTTGAGGATAATTGTAAATGTATATATTTTAATTGCACTGGTACATTGAACATGTCAGTGTCTATGCCACTGGACCAACAGCATTTTCTAGCTACAGGGTGCCTAATAATGTCTTGATTTTCCTTTGGGGTTCACTATATAGGTTTTCCTCCAGCGATAGGGGGAGTACAGGTGATCAATCATTGATGTCATTGCAATTGTTATTTTTTAAAATAAATTTATAAAAATACTAAAAAATGATTTGACTTTTGAGGAGTTTGCATCCCTGGATTATAGGTTGTGTTTATAATGTTAAAATTGTGAACTTTGTAGCTAGACATTTGATCTCTGTTATCATAATCTAGTAGTGTCCAGGCTTCCTAGTTTTATCTCCTCAGTCTTCTCTCCCTTTTGGCTTTCCCACCCTGCTGAGGAATTTCTGTCACCTGTGGGTTAAACATAGATTTGGTCTTAACTACGGGAAATACTCATAAAATGTGAAGTTATACCAGGAGCATAATTAGCCCTTTCATCATCAAAACAGCCTTCATTTATTAGGTATTTTAAGTATTTAGACCTAAAGGGTGCAAAGAGGCACTTTTTTATATTTTCAGAGAGCTAAAACAAAACAAATTCTGATTGTTGAAAATCCGCAGCATGCTCATCCTATTGCTGCATTATGGTCTAGCAATTTGAGCAACAAAGACTAGCAGCTTCCAATGTGCCATTATCACAAGTCTTGGAACCAAGAGCTAGAGAAAAACAGACTGGGAGCTTTCTTGGGRTGAGGCCATAGGCCCGTCCTGGCAGATAACAGATAATGTTAAAATTGTGACCTTTAAAGATAAGGCTTGGTAGTTTTTACCTCCTCTCAATCTTCCTATAAATAAAAAAAGATGTTTTCTAAGAAAAAAATAAATAAAACTTACTGAATCCTTAAATTCAGTGGTTGTCTTTTGGGAATTAAAAATCACCATGTGGAAGGTATATCAGTTTGGAGTGTAGTTTTAGAATTCTGGCTTTTTAAAATTATTTTTTTCTAAAGATTATTTTTTAATAAAATATAATTATGTGGCAAGAATTAAAAAAATAAAGGAAAATGACAGTGTTGAATAGTTACTAAATTMAGAGTGACCCAAATTACTACTCTGGTGATATTTATCCCAGATGATGGGTTTTATCCCAGGAGCATCTTTCGCGTTTCAAGGAGTCTAAAACCTGCAGTCCACCTCCCCTAGATCCTGGTGGAAGTTGGGAGCCTAAGCGGCGGGAAGCAGGTGGGGCGGAGTCCCAAGGAAGCCTGCGCGGATTGGTTGGGGGGCGGGCCCCGCCAGGGCTACCGGAGCGGATTGGCAGCTGCTTGGAGGGAACCTGTTCACGGTAACGGCGGGCAGCCCCGCCGCCGCCATGGCGACGGGCGAGCGGGAGGCGGCGCCGCCTCTGTGGCCTGTGGAGGCCCGGTTGGCGGCGCTGCTTCCCGACCTGCTGGTCTTCAGGAAGCCCMGGGGATCGGAACCCGAGCTCGCCACGGCCCAGGGCGTCCTCCTAGGAGTCCACGTGATGGGTGAGGGCGGGGAGCGGCGGCCGTTGGCCTGATCCGCGGGAGGCGGCCGCAGTTTCGGCCCTGGTGCCCCGGCGACCTAAGGCGCGGTTTAACTGCGCGCAGGAACCTTTGAGGGCCTTTGTTTTCCATTGGGATGAACTGGTTTAGCCCCGGTTCGGAGATGACTAAATTGATACGCGGGGAAAAGGATTTCTTCAGGCCACAGGAGGCTTTGAACCCAAGTTTCCCTCCAAACCCCGAGTATTTTCCAATAAGCATTCCATTTTATCCCATCAGTTAACTCATTCTAAGTGTGCCCCCACGTGTTCTACTTGCTAGCAACCTAGCAGTCACTTCGAGAGTCATTCATTTAATAAATATGGAGTATATGTGTCATGGATTTGAAGATGAGAACATGAGGTGCCTGCCCTTACCATAGGAGTTCTCTATCAAGTTTTAATCCTTTTCCCTTGTCAAGTGTTTTCTTGCCATCACATGGGGCGAAATTGCACACTTTCCTCTGGCCTGAGAGGGAGGGTGGGAAGAAAGAGGCAGCTGGCTTCAGATGAAAAGAGTACTTGTAGGTAAATCATCTTCATTTACAACAGCAACCAGCTCAGCCCTGGGTACTTTCCAATACCCAATACTGTGCTAATGGATCAAGGAATTATTCCACTTGAAAGGATCTGATTACCTTAGGCTACACRTGGAAGGAAGAGGGCTTAAAAGTTTAAACTTGACAGCTAATATAATAATTTTTGCTTTGTTGGTCAGGGTTTACAGCATTAATGGACAGGTTCAGCCTGACGTGCAAGTCGGAACATGACATGGACAAACTGGCCCACATCTTCAGTTATTACATTAGTGACATCGTGGAGCGTGAGTGATCCTTGTAGGAAAGCAAGGAGTTGTGGTCTGGTCTCCTGAGGGTTTATAAGAAGGAAGCTGGGGTACTTTAAAATAGGTACTAAAGGGTCATTCCTTAGGCATCACTTATCTTTGTTTTTATCAGACTACTAATGATAAATTAATTCTTTGCCTCTATCTGCCATTCTATCCAGTCTCCAATCCCATTGATTGATTGCCCAGTAAAAGGAGAGGGAGGGAGGGACCTAATGTTGATTTTTACTTTGTACATTGAATTTTATTTAGAAATAAAATTCATGATATGTCTTCTAATAATGTGTCCCATTTATACATTATATATATATATAAGAAAACACCTTTCTACTCTGTTATGGCATTTTGATCTTGAGAAATGAATGTGTTCTCACTGTTTTCTTAGATGTGTTAAGCTTTTGAATATCTACCTACTCTTAAAAAATTTCTTATTTGTACAGCAAACATTTCAAGAACCTACTCTATGACAAGCACTGTAATTGGTTTTTGGGTGGCAGAACCCCATTCAAACTTGCCCAACAGAAATAACTCTGGCCCTGTACTGTTTACTACTTAAATAATATTCTCACTATTTACAGATAGTGCCCCATACAGTTATATCCATATTCTGAGATTCACCAGAATCATTACTATGTGACACYTCCTTTAGGAACTTTATTATTTCACTCACCTCTCACCTATGAGGAATGAGTATAGAAAGTCTTTCTCTCATCAGATTTGAATAAAGAGGAAGATTAAAAATTATGTAGCATTCATATATTATAATATCAGGAACAGCTGGGTGCTAGAAATACAGGGGAAAGTAAGACATAGTACCTGCCCTTGTGAAGATCCCATGTTAGTAAGAGAGACCAATAATAAGGAAACCCAGTGATTATAGATTATACATCCTATTAAGGAAATAAATCAAGTGAAGTAAAATAAAATGGTAGGGAGTTTCTCTAAGAGATCAAGTGATCATAGACTCCTTTGAGGAGGTGACATTTAAGCTGAGACAGGAATGATGAGGGGAACACTGTGAAGAGCTACCAGTGAAAGCATTTCAAGCAGAAGAATGCCAAGGACAAAGAAGAAAGCATGGCATGTCCTAGGAACTGACAAAAGGCTGGTGGGACCAGAGTATAGCTAGCAGAGTAAAGAGTGGCTTAAGGTAAGGTGGTAGGAAGGCAGCTATCAGATTATCAAGCTCGGGAATTCATAATAAGAATTGGACAATTGAGGTTATTTTTATACAAAAGGGAACTGTTGAAAGGTGCTACAAGAGTAGTAATATGATCTGATTTACATTTTCAAAGCTCATTTTTGCTGCCTCGTGGAGATTGGATTAAAGGGAGCTAGTGGAGAGTGAATGGTAAGAATGGAAACTTAAAGAGACAATTAGAATAGTCATGGAGAAGCTGGTTGTAGTGGCACATGTCTATAATCCCAGCTTCTTGGAAGGCTGAGGCAGGAGGATCACAGGTTTAAGGCTACCCCGTCTAGGGTAGTGTTTTTCAAACTCAGCTACACATTAGAAAACCTGGGGAACTTTTAAAAAAATCTTGATGGCCAGGGATGTAGTTCAATAGTAGAATGCTTGCCCAGCATGCACGGAGGCCCTGGATTCCATTGCCAAATCCAGGAGAAAGTTGGGGAAGTCCTGATGGCTTCACTCTAGACCATTTAAGTCAGAATCTCTGGGCTGGAGATATCCAGGAATAAGGATATTTTAAGTTTCACAAGCAGCCCCAACATATAGTCTGGATTTAAAATTGTTGATCTAGAGATGGCAACATAGCTGCATAGGGATGGATTAACTTGAAATGTATTTTGCAAGTTCAACACATAGGAGTTGCTGATAGATTGGATTTCAGCAGGAAGTGGTGAAAAAAAGGGACCTTTGGTTTTTTGGTTTCCATGACTGAATTGCTATGATAGTGTCACTGAGATGAGAAAAACTGACCTCTTAAGAAAATATTAAGAAACTCTTTAAGAAAAATATCCTTAGAAAAGGGTTCTGTTTTTAGTATGTTGAATTTGAGATGCCAGCAAGTCACTGAAGTGGAGAAATCATGTTAGCTATAATTGAACCTGGAGCTCARAGGCTAGATCTCCTTTAGAGATCTACTAATGGCATAGAGATGGTACATAAAAATTGTTTGAGTTCATGTGGAAAGAGTAGATACAGAAAGAGCCTTGTGAAAGAGAAGAGAAAGACTGAGACTTGAGGAACACCAAGGGAGGATTATGATTAGGGAGAAAGAACCTACAAGATAGTCTATAAAGCAGCAAGTGAGGTAGGATATTACAGTGTTCCTGAGGCCGAAGGGAAAATGGTATGCCTTAGAAGAAGGCTGTGACTAGCTGTTGAAAATGCTATGTCATCAAGTACAGTGAACTTGGAAAAATGCTGAATTTAGTTAGATGAGTGTTGTTGATAACCTGATCATTTAGGTGAGGTGGTAGAGATGAATATCATTTTGGCAAAAGCTGAGAAGAGAATAGTAGAGATATTTAAAAGAAAGAGTGAATGGAAAATGAGACAAGTATATACAGTCAATTTTCTCTCTCTCTCTCTCTCTCTCTCTCTCTCTCTCTCTGGGTGTGTGTGAGAGAGAGAGAGAGAGAAAAAAAAAAGAGAGAGAAAGAGAAATCAGAAAACATCCAATAGCAAAAGAATGAGACTCAGAAGAGGTAGATTATTTTTTATTTTTTTAAGATATGGATGGGAATGATCCTTAGAGAGTAGATAAGAGCAAAGTCCTTGAGAAGGTGAGAGGTGATAAGATCACACTATTTGTGGCTTTGAAGGGAATAGGAGTACTTTTTAGAGATGATATACAGAAGTACAGATCAGCCTGGCATGGTGGCGCATGCCTGTAATCCCAGCGGCTCCGGATGCAGAGACAAGAGGATCCTGAGTTCAAAGCCAGCCTCAGCAATTTAGCAAGGTGCTAAGCAACTCAGTGAGACCCTGTCTCTAATAAAACACAAAAAAAGGCTGGGGATGTAGCTCAGTGGTCGAGTGCCCATGAGTTCAATCCCTGGTACCAAAATAAATWAATTAATTAAAAAATTTTTAAAAAGAAGTAGATCTGAGGATAAGGTTCAGTCCTGAGGCTGGGAATGAATAAGTAGATGAGAAAGAAGGGAAAAATAAATAAAAACAGTAGGCCTTTAAAAAAAATGTACTGTAATTCTGCCATGATCTGATATCCCTCTAATCTTGACTTATTTTCTCCCTTGCTTGATTTCAGATGTGCTCTGTTTTGGAGGGGATATCCTTAATATCACAGGTACTTTTTATGACTATTTAAAGGACTGTGAGTGAGGAAAACTGTGTTTAAGTGGAGTTTGGCATATTTGCTTATTCTGCATTCATTGATTATTTAATAGGTACTGAGCACTAGGGAAG